CCCACAGGACTGCTGACTGGGGTTGGGGGAAGGTGACCTTTTGTTTCCTACCCTGCTGAGAAATCATTTCATTCCTCCTCAAATGAACCACCTTCCCGAATCCCAGATTTTTCCCCAGGAAAATGAGGACCGTTTTGTTTTCCAGCTTCCTGCCTACCCTAAATATTTTGAGGCTGAGTTGCAGATTTTCTATAATTTTACCTTCTCAGGTAAAAGCCATGAAAGAAACCTGTCCATTCCACCAGTCAAAGCACTTGCCCATGGGCTGGCTGCATGGACCATGGTAGGAGGTGTGTGTTTGTCTGTGTCACAAATCAGCACAGGCACACACACCTCTGGGTTAGGGACGTGTACTCATTTTCTCAATGCCTGAGAGTTCTCAAGTGATTCTGAATAGATTTGTCCAAGATTTGAAAATACTTGAATTTATACCAGGACACGTCCCTTCCGAAGGCACTACTGTCCTTTTGGGTGCCTCAGAGTCATAACCGTGATCATCAATTTTGGAAGTTGTTGAGGGGAAATCCTAGTTACTTAAGATTTTCGATTTATTCTTGATAAAGTGAAGATTTTCATTGTGGTGAATGAGTTAAATGAGCCCCTCTGATCCTATAGTTTTTTTTTTTTAAATTAGAGATTAATTATATCTTTTATGGAAAAGTCGTTTTGTCAGGTTTTTCACTCTCTGAGCTGTTTTTAATGTTTACAAACTCACTCTAGCTCTAATATTTGTGGTTAGTCCTCACCAAGGAAAAAAACACTTACTGCTGGCGGCAAGATTGTGCAGTAATGTGGTGAGTCCCCAGGGTTAATGTTTACAGCTGTAGCAGTGCACTGTGTAATCCTAACATGGAGGGGTGGGGGGGAGTAGGTGTGAGGACGGGCCCCCCTGTGCCTCTGAGGCATTGCATTCTTCAGAAAAGAGCAGCATTTGATGTCAGTGTTGGCCAGGCACCACCGCTAGGCTGGGGATGCTACAGTAACTGTGCTGTGCTGTCTCTGAAGGGTTGGGGTTCTGGGTTAGCGCCCTAAATAGAACATCCAGTGCAATCCGAGTTCTGCTACAGTTCCTGCTACAGTTCCCGCCCATGGCAGTGGCCCAGGCTGAGTGGTCAAGCGCCATGTGTGCACTGGGGTTCTTCCCTGCTTTTCCCACAGTGAGGGCAGCTCGGCCTGATCACAGCTGGGCCTGCTGCCAATGGGTCTGATAGAGCCCTCTTCCCATGTATGTCGCAAGTCAATACAAGTCATGCTTCACAGACTTCGATCCGAGTCCGTGGAGTGATCTGGGGAGAGATTATCACATCTGGATTTTATCTGTTCATTTATGTATTTATTTTGCATTTGTTGAGTGTGTACGCATAGTCAAAATTGGGCTTATCTCCCTTAGGGCCACAAAGACTCAGCCATGCATTAAAAGGGCACACTTGGAAGGACCACCCTGTGCTTTAGCAGAAATCTGGGAATCATGTTTCTTGGCCTCAGTAAAAGGCTGCCTTTGAAGTGAGATTGAAAACAAGAATACCATTCAGGCAGGATTGTTGCCCAAGTTTTCCCGAGTCACTTTGATAAACCTAGTTTATTATCTGGTGAAAAGGAGACAGGTGATTGGCCTCCCAAGGTTGTGTTTTCAGCTGCAAGAAATAGTTCTGAAGCCCATAGATGTGGCAAATGACAGATGATAAAACACAGTGACATATTATGCCACAGAGTAACTTAGGAGTTCATAAGGACCTTGGTGATAGACCCTTTGGAATTATTTATATCCCTGTAACTATTTAATATCTTTTGTACCATGAGGCTCCCCCATGGTTTTTTAAGCATATTTCCTAGTATTTAACTAGCTCCCACTAGAACCAGAAATATCCATGGACACTTCCCAGTTGGTATAATGCACAGTCACACATCCCGCTATATCACAGTGTGGTGAGGGAAAGTTCTGAAGGGAACAGGTGTGTCTATGGTGAATGTAAAGACACCTGTATCTTTGTTATGTGGCTTCTGTGTACAAACAGAAGACAATCTCTACTTAGGGGCCTTAAAATGACCTCTTTGCAGATCGAAGGAAGCATTTTTGCATTTAATAGTTCCATTGTCAGTTTGGTTGGGGGCTGTCAGTTTTGGTTTGAAGGCTGAAGCAACCTTTGTTTTTGCAGTTTTCTCATGGGATGGTACTGGTTTTCAGTGGGAACAAAACTTGAAGAGAACTGCAGTTGCTTTGGATTTGTTCCTGGAGACTGTGCAGTTGAAACCCTCAAGCATTTGGTGGAAGCTGGTGGTTTTTGATGGATGCAAACACTGACGTCCTCAGAGAAAGTTTATTTTGGCACTGATTTGGTTGACTTGGTTTTTTTTTTTTTTTTTTCCCTTTTTTCTTTTTTTGAGACAGAGCCTCAAGCTGTTACCCTGGGTAGAGTGCTGTGGCATCACAGCTCACAGCAACCTCCAACTCCTGGGCTCAAGGGAGTCTCCTGATTCAGCCTCCCAAGTAGCTGGGACCACAGGCACCCGCCACAATGCCTGGCCATTTTTTGGTTGCAGCCATCATTGTTGTTTGGCGGGCCGGGCGGATTCGAACCCGCCACCTTAGGTATATGTGGCTGGGCGCCTTAGCCGCTTGAACCACAGGCGCTGAGCCCTCTGATTCTCCCTTCTGATTCTCCTTGATTCTCTCTTCATGCTGCTGAAGGCACAGAGGGAAAGCCTTTTCCTTTTAATACAGGGCAATTACCAGGAAAGCTTAAAGACACTTGGCCCCACATAAAGCCATGCAAGGGTGGATGTAGAGAAGTTTGATTTAGAGTAAAGAAAACATCCATTCAAGGGAGATGCCTTTTGTCTGCAGAAAAAAGAAGAACATGGTGGCCTGCACAGCCCCAGTACACGCAGTGTCCTTGACTTGAGCAGAGGAGCCCAGGTGGGCAGAGCCTGGTCCGTTGCTGAGAGCTCATGTCTGCAGGCAGGCAGGAGTGTGTCTGACCTCCGTGGGTGCTTCTGGCCAGAGCTTTATGTCTCAGTTGACATATTCCTACTCTCAAGTTTGCAGATTCATCTGCCTTTCTTTGAAGCTTTCCTAATGAGTCACACCTGGGTTAAGCCACAGGCAGTCTCTGGGGAGACCAAGCACTAACTATCTTTGTCTGCACATGTATGTGAATTCGTGCTTGCAGTGAATGAGCCTTGAATAACCCTTGTGTGTGTTGTGTCCTGTGTGTGGCCTAAGCTTACTTATTTCTCAAGGACTTGCACATGCTGTTTGGGAAGACACCCCACACCCATGTGCTCTAAGAGGTGGACTAAGGTCTAATCTCTGTGCAACATTTTCTGTGAGTTGGTCTTAGAACCTGTCCTAGCAGACGAATAGAGCATGGAGCCACACAGCCTATTTGCTGATTCTGGAAGGCAGTGGCGATTTAAGCGGGCCTGTTGTGCCATCTGTGTTCAAAACAAAGCAGTCATGAAGTCAGTGTGCTACTGCTGGATTGTCATCTTCTCCAGATCTTGTTCATAGAGAAGTAATGACATCAGACAGGTAGGAAAAAGGGGAAAACACTTCCTAGGCCAAGAGCTGCTGGTTGATTCTTTGAGCAGAGTAAAAAGTTGCTTTCTGCCCAGGGGCTGCTGTTTGTGAAGTCTCCAGGTACCTTTTTAGTTCCTACTGAAGTTGCTGAATCCAGGGTTTCTCTCTTGCCCAGGTCTGTCTTATTTTATTAACACCTGCATCCAGGCCCAGCAGGGTGACGGCATGGTAGGCTGGTGAGGTCCCAGCGAAAGAGGCCTGGGAAGTGGGAGGAGGCAGCCGCCTGGCACACCCAGCTTCCGCCTGCTGTCCACCTGTTGATGACATTAGTTATGTTTACAAACTCAGGCTATCTTGGAAAAGCATACTGTTTGGCTAGCTACCTTCTTGTCCTCTTGTCTTTGGAAAAGTGAGGTCTTGTGTTCCAGAATCAGCTTGCGGGCAAGAGCAGAATGCCGGGGACCGGTCTTCCCTGGTGCTGTGGGTGAGTTTTTTTTGCATCTAGTTTGTGAACTCGTGGGTCCAGTCAGGTGACCAAATCTGGCTTGGATTTCTCTCAGACAGGACAGAGACCTAACACTGCCGCCCTTTAGCTTTATAAACTTTCCCAATTCTTTATAAGATTTGTTTCTTCTCTCCTCAGCAGATATTAAAATCATAAGATTTTTATGAATAAATTCAGTATGTCTGGTTGAGAAAGTAATTTGAAATATTTGACCTTTTATGTTTCTTTTAGAAACTGTCTCAGAAATGAAATTCCTTTAATATCTATTAGATCTAGAAGAATTTTCTTCTGAAAGTGAATGTTCTGTTTAACTTTTCTTCGTGCCAGTAAGTAGCATTTGTACACTCGCTGGCTTGAAACAGAGGAGTAGGCCCTGGTATATTTTCCCTTCTTTTGTCTGAAATCATTTCTCAATCTTTGAGATTCTGTATTCCTTTCTAGTTTTTCTTATTCCATAAACATGACAGAAAAAAATTACCCATAAGCCCACTGAGTTTGAATGACTGGCAATTCACCTACCATAGAATTTAGATGGGTCCTTGAATAGTGTATCTGTTTCATAGGGTTGGTTTGTTGTCTGTGTTTTTCATGCTGAGACTTTAATTCAGGTGACTCTAGATTAGCATGTTTTCTTCGGGATGTATAATACACAAAGGCCAGAGAACCTTCGCTGAGGGGGTTAATGCTGCTTACACTCCAAGCTGTCCGAACTTCTGTGGTTCTAATTTAGGAGTAAGATACCTTAATCAGCTTTGTTGATGGGATTTAGGGTGAGGCCCAGAGTTTCTTTGCATAATTGTGCCTGAAAGGAGAGATGGCATGAAACAAGATTCTGGTAGTGGTTTTTCTGGAAGTCAGTAACAGTCTGAAACTATCCCATCTGAGTCATCTTTGGATGACACTGCTGACACCCCATAAGTACCCTCTTTTTATCAGGAAATGAAGACAGTGGAGGGAGACCTGGTGCCTGGGGCAGGGCTGGCCTGACTGATGGCCACTTCCCTTCATGGGCCCCGCTTTGCTCACTTGCTTGCTTGCTTTTTTTCAGAATCAATTTTGCAAGTTTCAGGATCCTGTTCCCCTTTCTGCAGAAGTGAGGAAGACAAACATTCAGAACCCACTGGCCCAGGGCTGAGAGTGAGGGTGAGAGCAGGATGCCTGGAACAGCCCCTAGACTGGCCTAGCCCACAGGGGCACCTCTTCTCAACTCGGACTCCGTAACCTATATAAAAATGAGTTTTCAAATCTTGCCTCATGATGACATTGACCTCTTTGGATAAAATCAGTGCTTTTCATAGCTTGATTTTTTTTTTTTTGGACATGGTTCCTCTATAGAGAATGCTAAGGAATGAAACTATTTGTATATGTTGAAATTTGTAGGGGTTCAGGAACCCATGGCAGAAACACTAAACTATTTATTTACAGGTATGACAGTATTTTTTTTTTTTCTAAAATAGGCAAATCTGTCTTTTTGTATATTTTAAGACAATAAATCACTTCACCTTTGGTGCCTTCCATGTGTCACATAAGCACTCTTGTCAATCATGGAATTGGAAAAAAAGATGTACATTTAGTTAAACCAAATAACACTATTTTTGTAGCATGAGTTTAGAGTATGTCCTTTTAATATTGTTTTCAACAATGTTGGTTTCGAGGTTTTGGCCATTTTCTCTTTAAACTTCATTATGTATTTTAAAAAAAGAAAAACAGAACAATCCCCACCCCTACCCCCACCTTTTTCTTCTCTGCTTTCTCCCTGCCATCTTGTTTCTGTTTCTGTAAATGGTCTAATAGTAAGAGTATGTTTCTGTAAATAATTGTGAGTCAGTGTCACTGCATTTGGCATTTATTAATCACTTGCTCAGTTTGGAGGGCCGCTGCTCACCTCCAACAGTAAGGGGACAGTGATTCCGTGTTTTAAAAAAGAAAATCATCAGTGCTCTGACCTCCCCTTCTTTGGGTCTGAAATGGCAAAAATCCCGTGTCTGGCTCTTTTACTGGTTTCGGCCTGGTAAACCCAAGGGTGTTCTCTGGCCCAGTCTCTTCTTCCAGTATCTGCTCTCCGGGGAGGCCCTCAGCAGTCTCTGGGGCGGCCTTCAGCAGTCTCTGGGGCTCTCACCTCCACCTCCACTCAGATTTCGGATTGGTTCAAGGACGCTCTGGGCAGGCTCGGTGGCCCTTTCCAGGTTTCGGGCCTGAACAAACTAGTCTTTGCTCTGAGAAGCCTGATGAAAACAAGATACAGGGACACTCTCCAGTAGCTTTCTCACCCCTGCAGGACACAGTTATGTATGTCTGGTCAGGAAAAATCTTGAGTCAACTAGCTGAGCCATTGCAAAATAAAGGTATGGATTTGTCAAGACATAAAATGGTAGCTCTTTTTGGTCCTTGTGAAGGGCCAGAATAATAATTATTTGATAAAGGAAATCCAGTCAGGTGGCTTAACTTTCCAATATGATGACTCCTTGGTACTTTCCCTAGTGGCACTTTTGGGGGGCAGTGTTAATAACTATTACACTATGCTTGTGAAACGTCTGTTTCTTTTAAGCTTAAAGATACAGCTATGGGGCATTCTGAGGAGACGCCCATTTGGCAAACTGGCTCATCCTGTTGTGGGTCACGGCTCCCATCCTGGCAGCTTATCAAACTGACATGGATGCCCTGGGGTGGGCATCCCAGCTCCCATGGCTCTCGGGCTTGATTCTGTACATCTGAGTGGTCAGGGGTTCCCAGAGCTTTTGGTGTGTTGATTTGGCCCTGGCAGCAGACAAAGCCTCACACTGCCCTCAATGTTCCCCTTTTCTTTCTTTTGAAGGACCAATTTTTCATGGTACTCGTCTTGATTGTTTTCATAGTGTTCAAATCTGTATTTTTGTATGTAGAGGGAAATAATTTTCTCAACACTAATCGCTAATAAATATTGTATTAAATTGTCATGAAGGAATTCTTGTTTAATAAATGGACATGTAAAAACGTTACTGTGTCTTTCTTCACTCTCACTTGCCGCCTCTGTCTCTTAAAGGCCACGGATCTGGTTCCTCAAACAGCCCTGCTCTGCGGAGGTTCAACAGAGCTGCAATCCTAGGGCTGCACAAGGCCTCTGTCCTATCGCCGGGGCTGGCAAGGTGGAGCCTGAATCCCATGTTCCTTTCTGTTTCAGCACATTCCACTTGAGAGTTGTCCTGGGTAAAATGTGGCATGGAATGCCTTGCCTCTTCCCATTGAGGACACGAACGCTGACCCAGGGTCCCCCCAGGCTGCAGTGCTGAGGTCCCTCCTGTAGCCAGTTTCCTAAACCATAAGAGACTCAGGTTCTGGCTTCCAGAGGCTGCTGTGGGATATCATCCTGTAGGTGAGAGGGCCCTGGGCTACCTATCTAACCTTTCTCTGAGTTTCCTTGCCTGTAAAACAGGATTGTGTAAGGAACAGATAAGAGGATCAAATGCTGGCCAGACGCTCACCCTAGTGCCCAACAGGGAGAAGCGCGCATGCCCTGTGTCATGCTGTCAGTTACCAGTTTGTGTTGCAGCCTAATAGGATCCTCGACCATAAGGAAGGCTTTTTGAAACACACACACACAGTCATTCTGGTTTAATCTGTTATGGCTTTTTTAAGGGTAGGAGATTCACATGCAAGAGAACAAGGTTACAAATGCCCAGAACATGGGTCCTGAACTCTGGCTCATTCAAGAGGCCTAGAGTCACAAAAAATGCCATTGGTTAAGAAGCTGCTTTAGTATAAAAAAAGTATAAAAAGCTACAAAAGCTATAAAAAGTCATCACAGATACACAGTATAAGTCAGGAGAACACAGAAGGCTTGTCTCATGAGGGGGCCAGGAGACCTGCTCTGGTTTCTAGAAGTGCGTTGTCCTGAGGGTGCCAGGACGCTCTTACCTGCTGGCCGGCCCTCAGGGAGAGAGAGGGCTTGGCTGGGCCCGCCCAGCTACCTGTAATGCTGTCACTGTTCCATCATTGTGTGGGACCCTCTGTCTTTTGGTCCGGGGAAGCTAGTATGCTAGCTCTTCTTTGACACAGTCTTAGACCCAGAATGATCATCTGAATAGAAGAAGACATGGTTTCCAAGGGCGTGAGGTGTCAGTTGTGGGTGCTGAGACCCACTCTCCTAGATAAGGCAAAGGTCAGTTTTCTCCTTGCTTCAAGAATGAAGAGGGAACTGGTGCTCCTTGAACAAAAGCTTCTTGGAAGGGTCCTTGTTGACAAAGTGACCGGCATGAGCAGGAGCACCATGTGCAGACAAAGACCACAGGAACCTGGTGGGGCAGCCCTGTGGTAGTTCCTGTCTGTATTTGTTCCTGTTAGGGAAACACAGATGCCCCCCACACCCTGACTTTGCAGCATGAACTGCTTACTGCAGCAGGTGCTATTTAATAAGGCCCTGTTGGCTTTGTTTCCTTGTGCTTGTTTTTGGCAGAGCGGTCAAAGGGCTTAAGGTCTAGGGGACAGAAAAGGGACTCAGGGTGCCCTCAGTGCCACCAGTGCTAAGCCAAGGGCCAGTCAGTACAATGGGCTCAGGTGTAACCTTGAGACTGCAGGCAGGCCCCGTGCATCAGCAGCTCTCGGCTGCTCCAGAAGCCACAGCCTCCATTCCCCAAACACTGCATTCCCAGCCAGCCCTGTGAGGAAGGTGCAGGGTGGAGGTGCCATGTGGCTTGGGTTGCCAGGGTGCGGTCAGGCTTCAATCCGAGTCTGAGTCTGAACTTTCTTCTGAAAGGAAAGCAGAGGACGCTTGGCAGGAGTTGTGGGCAACAGTAGCTGGGAATGTCCCTGGGGAAGCACAGCCAGGTTGCTGGCAGCAGCCTGGTCCCAGGCTGACTCCACCATTACCTGGTGTGGGGTTTGGCTCCAGGCCTGGGACCCTCCACAGGCAGCTGCTGTCACTTCCAGGGTCTGTGTGTGTGTGGGGGTGTTCCACCTGCAACTGCCACCCAGATGCCCCAGGGCCTCCCAGCTCTCCCTAGGTCATTCTGATGTGGGGTTGGCAGGGTTGTACCCCTGCATCCTAACCCATCAGTTCAGGTGACAAGGCAAGGACAGCTGTTTTCTTGTTCCCTAAACTAAAATATGCTGGAAAATCAGCAAGCCTCCTTTTAGCCATTTTACAATTCTCTTCCCCTAATCCTTTTTTTATATTGTGATCAGAAGCAATTTTCTATGTTAAGAGCCTGTGAGGTGTGACTTGAGGGTTCCTGAAATCCCAATACTGAAGACTGTTGTATAGAGCCTTCTAGGACTCCTCACCCTAGAAAGGGGAAGCACCCTGTCACTGACTCCAGCCCCATGCTGGCTGCCATGTCCTGATGCTCATCACCTCCCTGGCCAGGCCCCATCTGTCACAACCTTAGCCCAGGCTATTGCTGGCTCTGGGCCAGCTCAGGGTGGGCTAGGTGCAGTGAGGGGTCCCCAGGTGCTTGGAGGGCCTCCCTAAGGCCTGAATCTCCCCTCTTGGGTTGCACTTGTTAAGATTTTGAGGACTTTTCTATATTCAATTCTAAAGTATAAGCTGGGAATAATATAGCAAACACATATATGAAATTCTCCAAATATTCAAAGACAAATGTGTCTCCACTGACTTGTTCACTGGGTTGGTTGTCCAGGAGCAGGCAGCTGGGAGCAGGTCACAAGGGCCTGAAGACAATGGGATCTGCTGCAGGGGGCTTGGCAGCACTTGGGTTCAGCAGAGGGACCACCTCTGGGGTTCCCAAGTCCCCACGGCCCCCGCCGCCTAGCTGTTAGGAAACAGGTGGCTCCTAAACCTAGCCAGTCAGTCCCACCTCGGACAACACGGGTTCTGCAGGGAAGATAGGCCCTTGGAGAGCGCCTGGCGTCCCCCTGCCCAGCTGTATCACTGCAGAGGGACATGTACCTGTTCCTGAGCATCTCACCTGGACGGAACACCTGTTCTTCGTGTGGTCTTCCTTCCTCTAAGTGCCCTTCTGGCTGCACCCTCCTAGATAGCCACCAAGACTCAGCTCCCTCACCCTGCTTCATCCCTCTCCTGGTTCCTGTTCTTTTTTGTTTTTTTTTAGAGACAGAGTCTCACGTTGTTGCCCTTGGTAGAGTGCCATGGTATCACAGCTCACAGCCACCTCCAGCTCTTGGGCTTAGGCACTACAGGCACCTGCCATAACACCTGGCTATTTTTTTGTATATGGGGCCGGCGCCCTACTCAACACCCGCCCCATCTCCTGTCCTGCTGTCATCCATCGGAAGGCCTCCCTTAGCACCGCGCACGTTCTGCTGTGCCCATTGCCACGCCTTCTGGGTCTGACTCCTGGCCAGCCACGCCCATCTGGGCATCCCTCACACCCAGCAGAAGGCAGCCTCAGCAGGTGTCTGGGCCAACAGATGCTGACACAGGGCCCTGGAGGGACGTCTGGTGCTAAGCCAAACATCTGCTGACTGTCCACTGTGGGCTCAGGGCTGCTGGCCAACAGCACCACCAGCTTCTCTGATAAAAGTCTTACTGGGCATGTGGAGTGGGTGGGGCAAGGAAACAGCCAATGGGCCGCAGGGCTTCACCCCAGGCCTGCCTTTCTGTATTGAGGCTGCCACCCTCTCTGCTCCTCTTGCCCGTCTGGGCCAAGACCTCCTCTGGTGGCTTCCTTGGGCTGTGAGCTCCAAGCTAGCTGTATGCTCCCTGACATACCTTTGCAGACCCCCTGCCACATGCCCTGTCTTGTGCTGGGCAAAGTCACCCCAAGGATGTGACAGTTGGTATGGTTGTGTTGTCACAGAGAGAAAAACCAGCCTTCCAACTTCCAGCTTTTTTTTTTTTTTTTTTTTTTAAATCAGGTAACATGCAAGCTGGCCTTGCTGAGCTGGAAAAGGCTATCTTGAGAGGCCAGAATGTCCATGGCACTTTTTGTTTATTTGAGACAGAGTCTCACTTGATCACCTTTGGTAGAGTGCTGTGGCATCATAGCTCAAAGCAACCTCAAACTCTTAGGTTCAAGTTCTCTTCTTGCCTCAGCCTCCCAAGTAGCTGGGCCTACATGCACGCTCTTTAATGCTCAACTATTTTTAGTGATGGGGTCTTGCTCTGGCTCAGGCTAGTCTCAAACCTGTGAGCTTTGGCAATCCACCTGCCTCAGTTTCCCAAGTGCTATGCATTTTCTTTTTCTTTTCTTTTTTTTTTTTTGAGACAGAGTCTTATTATGTTGCCCTTTGTAGAATGCCATGGCGTCACAGCTCATAGCAACCTCAAACTCTTGGGCTCAAGTGGTTCTCTTGCCTCAGCCTCCCAAGTAGCTGAGACCACAGGTGCCTGCCACAACACCTGGCTATTTTTTGTTGCAGTTATCATTGTTGTTTATCTGGCCCAGAGGGATTCAAACCCTCCAGTCTCGGTGTATGTGGCTGGTGCCATAACCACTGAGCTATAGGCGCCGAGCCATGTGCACATTCTTTTAAGATAAAATAAAAACAAACCTGAGCTTGCCTGGGTGCTGCAATGAGGGCAAGTGCCTGGGTCCCTGGCCCTTAGGTCTGGGCAGGTAAGGCAGCAGGGGAAGCTGGGATGGGGCAGGTGGCCGCTCTAGAACCCAGGTGGAAGGTGCTCTGAGGGTGAATGGCTGCCTGGGGTCTCGCCCAGGAAGGGAGCCTTGGAGGCCCAGAAGCCCAGGCATGCTCTCTGCTTGCCCTTTCTAGAAAAGCAGAGGCCCTGGAGCCCTGTGCTCCCCAAGGGGACTGGCTTTGTGGCCACAGCCACATAAAGGGATGTGAGAACTGGCTGTGAAAATACTTCCTGTCCATGGGGAGAGAGAAGATGCTCATACCCCAGCCTCACACAAGCCGGCATCCCCAAGGGAGGGCAGGCCACTGCAGAAATACTTCGAGGGCACCCACTCACCTTCTGCCTTGTGCGCCGTGGTCTCCTCTGCAGAGTTCCCTTGTTTGAGGAATTTGGCTACATCATTAAAGATCAGGTAAAAGTTAATTGCAAACACGATGGTGGCAAAGAAGCCAAACACCTGTGGGGCACAGCAGACAGGGAGGATGGGATGCAGCACGAGCACCGAGTCTCCAACCCAGGAGGCACTGGGACATTGCAGCCCCCCACTTCATGGGCTGTTGAGCCCTGCCAGGATAAGCAGCCCAGAGTGGCAGGCACAAACCCCTCCAAGTCCCCTCAGACCCCTCTGAGCAGGAGAATGGGCTGGAAACTTGCTTTGACATGCAGCCTTTTGGAGCTCGGAGTAGAGTAAAGCTCTAAGAAGAGGCTGTAGTAATAATAGTTGGACCGGCACAAGATCCCAAAGGGAAAGGATGTGCCCCAGCTTCCACCTGACGATGCTTCCAGCATCTGCAGCTTCAGGAAGGGTGGGGTGAACCTGAGGGGCTACTTCTAGGCACCCCCTCCCAGGGATGGGGGTTGCTCACTCCAGCTGCTTTGGAAGCCCCATCCGAATATTTGGCGACTGCAGTGATGGAGATGGCGAAGTAGATGAGGGCAGCAGTGACACAGCGCAGGAAGTCCTGGGGAGAGAGAGGCACAGCATGGCGGGGGAGGACCTGGCCCCCACCACAACCAGAGGGCTACCTCCCTGTTCTGCCCCCTGACCTGGGCGCCTCCAGTGTCCCACTAGCAGCTGACACTGTTCTGTGGCTTGGGCCACTTGGCAGGGAGGTAGAAGTTGGAAAACCTGTCACCTGCTCCCTTCTAGCTCTCTAATGGGGAGACCTGGTCCCAGGCCTCGCCAACCACACTCGTGGCTGATCCATTTACGGATCACGGTTTCTGAGCATCCATCCCTAAAATTGGGGCACAAAGGGTGAAGCCCTGCTAGGGCGGGTGGAAGGTTGCTGACAGCCTTTGCCACCCTTTCTCCATGACATAAGTCACTGAGCAAAGTCCACTGGTGGGGCTCTGGACTCCCAGACAAGAAAGCAAGGCTTGGGTTGCCATCAGGGTTGCCTGATGGCGGGGTCTGGGTAAGCCCTGCAAGTCCTCAGCTAACCTGCCTGCCTGGTGGAAATGGCTCAAATTCCTGCGGCGGAGGCACATTCCTGGGCGCTGCTGGGAGCACCAGCGCCACCTGGTGACCAGAAGTCCATCTCGCGGGTCCCTGCCTCTCACACGTGCTCTGGAGGCGCCACACCCTCCCTAGGTCCCAGAAGGCTGAGAGGTGGGGCCCGGATCAATGAAGCGGCTTTTGCCCGCCTGGCTCCAACAAACTGCACACTGCCTCTCCCTGCGGCAAGGGGTCTGGGACGCGTGCCGCCTCTGGATGCTCATCGGCTGCTCGGGGGACAGCCAACCCCTCCTGCCGAGACAGGTCCTCACCATCATGGGCCAGCACAGGCCCTGCCACTTGTCGTTCAGCTGCATGGCATCAGCAAAAAGGAAGTACAGGGCCAGCAGGAACTCCAGGAGAGGCGCCGTAAGGAAGGCGGACGCTGAGGATGCCACATAGCAGATAAAGGTGATGAAGGACAGAATCTGAGGGGAAAGAGGTTAGGGGAGAAGTCAAAGCTTTTTTGTGACCTTGGGTCACTATATCTCTGAGCCAGACTGCCATCTGCACCCACAGTCCAACAGCTAGGAAGTGGCATGGCCAAGACTTGCACCCGGGTCCACACCCCTGTCCCCCGAGTCCTGTGGGTGTGATCCTAAGTCCTGACATCATCCCAGCGCCCTACCCGGACCCAATGAGGAAGCTTCAGCCTTCCTGGAGGCGCACTACCCACTCCCCACCCCCAGATCCACCCACTCCGCACACTACAGGGGCAAATCAAAGCTAAGCAGTAACCAGTTTCAAAAAGTAACACCCAACACCAAAAGTGTGTGCTTTTCACTAAATGTAAACTTTCCCTTAAAAACAAAAATCTTGAACTTGAGTTAATGATATGCATGCTAAAGTGTGTAGAGTTGAAATATACTGATCTTGGCTCAGTGCCTATAGCTCAAGTGGCTAAGGCACCAGACACATACAGCAGAGCTGGTGGGTTAGAATCCAGCCTGGGCCTGCCAAGCAATGACAGCTACAACCAAAAAATAGCTGGGCGTTGGTTGTGGCGGGGGCCTGTAGTCCCAGTTACTTGGGAGGCTGAGGCAAGAGAATAACTTAAGCCCAGGAGTTGGAGGTTGCTGTGAGCTGTGATGCCACAGCACTCTACTCAGGGCAACAGCTTGAGGCTCTGTCTCAAAAAAAAGTACTGATCTCTGCAATTTACTTTGTGTCAGAAAATAAAATGGGGCTGGGTATGGTGGTTCACTTCTGTAATCCCAGCACTTTGAGAGGCTGAGGCCAGAGTATCCATTGATGCTAGGAGTTTGAGACCAGCCTTAACAAGAGCAAGATCGTCTCTACTAAAAATAGAAAAATTAACCAAATTAGTTGGGCATGGTGATGCACACCTGTGGTGCGGTTACACTTACTCAAGAGGCTGAGGCAGGAGGATTGCTCCAGCCTAAGAATTTGGGGTTGCAGTGAGCAGTGATGACAACACTGCATTCTAGCATGGGCAACAGAATAAGACCCTGTCTTGAAATAAATAAATACATACAAATATAAGTAAACTAGACTGAGGGACAGATAAAGCAAATGTTAGCAAAATGTTAACATATAGTCTATGGGTGTTAATGGTACAAAGCTTTCAACTTTTTTATGCTCAAATTTTCATAAGAAAAAACTATTTAGCAGAGAGCACGATGGTAGATACCGGGGGCCGTGCTGCATCATTCATGCATCCTTTGTGAAAAGGGGGCCCAACTACACTTGAACTATAGAATCAAACTTCTCTGCAGCCTCGCTCACAACTCTAGGTGGAAAGAGCTGATGCCAGTCAGTCCCACACCCCAGCTGTGTGCAGGGCAGACCAAGATGGCGGCCTGCTGGCTGACCAATGGGTCCTCTATGCCCAGTAATCACTGTGGTTCATGGGCACCTCCTCTGACCCTCACAACCATCCCTGCACCAGGTGCCATACTGACAGATGAAAAGACCCCATTTCATGCAGCTGGTAAGAAGATGCCAGAATTTGAACCTGGAGCTGGCTGACTTCTAGTTAAAAGTTCTTAAGCAACCCAGCCCTGTGGGTGCCTGGGGAGGCCATCTCTCCTGGTTTCTGTCACTGTGGCTGTGTTTGAGCATGTCTATGGCTGAATATCTTGTTGTGGGTGTTGGGGGGCATTGGGACACCCAGATGTCCCAGAGGAAGCACTGTGGTTATTTCAGGCAAATGAGCTGCAAGGATCCCAAGGGCACCCTTTTCTGTCCTGCACCTGGCCCTGGGGAGGAGCTGAGCCCACCTTGGACAGATAGGAAACTAAGGTACGGAAGAGGGGCTGCTAGGCTGCCAGGGCCTTCCAGGAAACCAAGGCCATGGGCCTAACAGCCCTGTCCACAGCTCCTGCTGAACTTCCTGTGCCAAGAGCTGTTCTGTGTTCCTCCCCTTCCTGTCTTCCGTCTTCCCCACCATGCCCCCCCTCCCCAGCTCGACTCTGGGGGATCCCCCTGTCTCAATTCCTGTTTGCTCATTCCTGATTCCTGAGGCTCACTTCCTGCCTAATCCAGCCATGGCAGCATCCACACTTGCTTGGGCCTGGGGGTGGGAGGGAAGTGACCAGTGAGGCAGTAGTGCCAGGAGTGGCTCCTACGGACCCTGAGTGCCCACCCTGCACCTTTCCTGCTCCATGTAGCCGTAGATTCCTGACATCCAGCTACGTCAAGGGCTGTTCTGGGTAGTATGCCACCTCCACCCATGAAGTGGTCCTGGGTAGCGGAGGGA